GAAGAGCTCGCAGTGATAATGAATCCGAGTTCACTAATTCCATTATTGAAAAGTTTCTAATTGACAAACGTATTGAACACAACTTTTCTACTCCTTAAACTACTCAACAAAATGGTGTCAATGAAAGAACAAATCAAGCTCTAGTTGAAGCTACTTAGTCGATGTTGAACTTTGCAAATCATCCTCTTTATCTTTGGGCTGAAGCGGTTTACACGACCTCATTTACTCAAAATCGAAGCATCATCGATCTTCGACTCAACAAGACACCATATGAAGCAATGGATGGTCGAAAGCCAAGTATCTCATTCTTACACATCTTTGGCTGAAGATGTTTCATCAAAAAAAAGTGTGATAAACTCACCAAGTTTCAACCTAATTTAGATTCAGCCATCTTTTTGGGATAATCTGCTAAACCAAAAGCTTCTCGCGTTCTTAATCATCAGGCATGTGTAACTGAAGAAAGCTTAGATATAACTATTGATGACAAGTTGATCAAAACTCAGAGCCAACTCATGTTGTAACCCACATCATGTAGTCCAATGCTCCAGCCATGGGTCTCCACATCCTCAGGTTATCTATGAAGTCGATTTTGAATGTTTGTTTGGACCTATAGAAACATATCTTACCTCAGAATCTAGATCAAGACCATCTTCAATGCCAAATCCTCCTACTTCTCATAACATATTCGGTCCGACCACAACCTTTCCTCCATTTGATTCCAAAGTGTTCCCATATCATGTTGAGGGAGAGAATATATTTGCTTCCGTGCCTCAAGAGCAAGAAAGTAATCCAGCCTTTGAATCAAATGTTAGGGGTTTCAAGATGCAACATATAAATTTGCAGAAATTGATCAAATTCCGAACAATAATGAAGATGATGCCAACTTCTTTGACTTTCCGATCCAAGACGATGCTGATATATTTGGTTCAGAAGTTCAGGGGAGGATCATCCTCAAATTCAAACCATTAAGGGGGAGCAAGACAACCCCATTTTTGACGTCGGATCATTTGTTGCACATGAACTTCATAGATTGCATATATGGACAAAGGATTATCCTCAAAATCAAGTTATCCAAGATCAGAACGTCGGAGTTCAAACTCGCTCTGTTGCTAATATTCAAAATGAGTGTCACATCTTGGAATTCATATCATTGGTTGAACCTAAATCCATCAAAGAAGCTCTAGAACATTCTGATTGGATTACAGCCATGCAAGAAGAGTTAGAAGAATTCGACAAAAATCAAGTGTGGACTCTTGTCCCTCCTCCTCAGGATCACCTAGGGATGTCAACGGGACCAAACGGGAGCGGAATAGCTGCCCACAACCCCGCCCCCAAAATCAGTTGTCACCCCCGCCCCCGGTCCCGCCCCCAGATCCCCCGCTTACATAGCCCCGGTCCCGCCCCCGGTTACCTCCATCACCCCCGATCCCGCCCTCGTTCTCCCGGTTTATAAGCTTAAAATTAGATTTTTTTTGCTAAAAAACTGCTTTGTTTTAGGCTAGAAAGACAATTTTAATAACTTTAAAAGCTTAAAACCTAATCTTTTAGAAACTAAAAAATTAAAAATCCAGCATTACAAATCCAACATTACAAAATGACAATTCTAAAAATCTTACAAATAAAAAATACGACAAATTCAACATTACAAATGTAAAATACGACAAATCCAACATTACAAATATAAAATACTAACATGTCCAAAAATATATGACCAATTCACTACATCTTCAATATACATTAATTGCCTAAACCTAAAATTAGAAAATCTATTTTATATATGTATTTTATATTAAATATATATTTTTTAAATAAATGTTCAACCGGGGCCCCCCGCGGGAGTATAGGACGGAAATACCGATTCCCGACCCCGATTCTGAAAATAAACAGGGTTTAATTATGCCCCGCCCCCACTCCTCCTCCTGGTTTTTTTAATAATTTAGTCTCGTACGGTATCGGGGTCCCGCTAGGTTTTTTGACATCCCTAGGATCACCCAAGTGTCACAACTCGATGGTTTTTCCAAAATAAACTAGACAACGCAGGATTCATTATTAGAAAAAAGTGAGATTCGTGACCAATGGTTTCACTCGGATTGAAGGACTTGATTACAATGAGACCTTTGCACCTATTGCTCGTCTTGAAGACATCTGAATCTTTATCGCATATGATGCTCACAAGGCTTTCAAAGTTTACTAGATGGACCTCAAAAGTGCCTTCCTCAATGGTGAACTTAATAGTGCAGTTTATATTCAACAACCTCCTAGGCTTGTAAATTTATCACATCCTAACTACTGCTACAAACTCCAGCAAGTTATGTATGGCCTGAAGCAAGATCTTGGCGCCTGGTACGAGACTCTTATTTGTTTTCTGAAGTGTTCTAGTTTTCAAAGAAGAGATACTCAAGGCAATTGAGGTTTTTCCAAACCCAGAAGGATTCAAGGTTGTTGAGCCTACTGCTTCATAATTCCAACAATTTCTTTCCCAAATCTTCTACAAGGGTGAATAAAACGCAAAAGGGTTCATGAAATCGACTTTTCCTACAATGTGGATGATTCTCATGCACATGATCATGAGAGGTTTATATGTCAAGCATGTAGGAATTGATTCATTTAGCAAGGATTGGTTGTACCAACACCGTCGACTTACCGGAAGTGCTATGGTAAGAGTTTGGGAAATTTACGGACCGCCAGAAGAAGAACGAAATCTCCGGTCCAAGATTTTGGGCTCTGACCCTACAACAGATCCACTCAGACAGACTTGAAGCCATTCCATTTTCCTTAGACATTCCTGAGTATACTGCTCTTTCAAATCGATTAAGACTTATAGAATTTCGAACCAATCCTCATTTGGACTTGTACGACGTCTTCCACAACATATGTTGGAGTCTATTCCTTCTGATTCACCTTATAAAAAACATCATCTTGATATTTTGGTTTTAGTCAACCTACTAAATCCTACCTCGATCTCAGATGAAAAACCCTTGGAAGAGAATAGACTTGTCTCATCTGGTGGTAGAAAAAAGAATATTTTTAAGAATAGAAGCATATCCCTTTCTAAGTCCAAAGCCAAAAATAGATCCAAAATCGATGAATCCTCACAAACAGATTCACAGATCAGTTATCGACCTGACTTTGGGTCTCCACCTACCTCTCCAGGCTATTATTCTAATGCACTCAATTGAGTTTCAAAATCACAAGCAGACACTTATGGGGATTCAACACACCATCTACCCCAAACCTCCTAACAAGGTGGTTTTGGTATTTACCAAAGTTCCTTAAATCCCCTAGAACACACTCACGAGTCCTTGATAACACTCTATATTCTACAGAAGCACAATTTCTAGCCCTTACCACAAGTTCCAAGCTTTCCGAGCAACAAGCAGTCGCTCCGAACTTAGAAGCCTCAACCGAACAGATACCCACAATGGGTACATGACACTCGGGTGTTTCTAATGAAGATTGGAAAGATTTTATTCATAGGGCTCGAAGAAAATATTCTGACCTGAAAAAGTAACAAGTTGAGTACGCAATTATCGGAATGCACTTCAGAGCCCTTAGAGGTAAGCTTCTAATCAAGCTTCCTTAAGATTAAGTAGTGGAGACTTCATTTCCTACACTAACTTCTAATAATCGAGCTTCCGATGATGTTCCCAAATCTATGGATAATCTATTGGATGATGTTAACTAAACCTCCCCAGATGATACTGCCAACACTCCGAGTGGAAACGTGCCCGAAATTACTTCGGAAGAACCTCCTCGGAATATCCCTGCTAATGTAGAGGAAGTTGAAAACGTGTTTGAGGATGAATCTGGTCCAGTTGTTGCATTTTCATCATCATTTTAATTCAAATTTCTGCAACCATCCTCATCTAATGTTAGAAATGAGTTCAACTTTTCCTCTTCCCCGGAAGACATGAATATGGAGGATAAGGGTGGTGATCAGGTAATCAAACTCAATTTGATCAAGTTGATGGAAATTAGGATGAATATGATAAAGATAATGAAGATGATAACGGTGATGAAGATGTTGATGAGAAGTCCAAAGGATCTAGCTCAAACACAAGATTTTCTGATGAAGAAGTTGCTGATCCGTTTTCTATTTTGGAACTTGAAGACATAGTTGATAAATTTGATTCCAATATTAAATATGTAAATGCTTAGGTCGGAGAATTTGACTCAAAATTAGATTTGGTTCTCAAATCTCTTTTCGAGATCAAGTCTAATGCTCCATTATAGCTTGGCAGAGAAAATAAATTGGATCAACTCATCTCTCTCCATTTGAAGCACACTCTAGAAGAGCATGAATAATGGTACAACGACAATCTTCGCCATCACATTCCTACCACCTCTATCATGCTCAATATCCATGATGACATGATCTATGATACAAACAAACTTATCTAGTACACTCATGTCCAACACGAAAGATAAATTCAGAGGTTTGAAAAGGAGATCCCATGGAAAGATGGTATGTACCTAATTATGCAACAAATTCTAATCAAGGTTATTTAGTATGCCCAACACTTTATGTACATTTTGAATTACAAGGTTGATAAATTCTTGGCTATTTTTGCAAATATTCTCATTGCCTTAGAGAAAAAGATTCGAACGTTGATGCCTATGATAATCTCACTAAGATTGTCAACGTAATCTTTTAGAAGGTCCTCTCCAAGATCGGGGATATACATTAGTAAGTGGTACTTGCATGCAGTCCCCTGGTTTCAAAAGGAGGAGAAGGAGCAAGCACAAGTCGTTTTCAATTGAAAAGGATGTAGTATACGCTCTGTTATGAGACTTCCGAAGATGAACATGAAGAAGTTAATGAAGAAGAAATTGAAAGAGAAGATGACTTTGATTATAAAGATCTAGTGATTGGTGCAATTGTTGGACTAAGAGTTGAAAACGAGCAACCTTCAATTTTTAAAATTATCTTTAAATAGGAGAATCAAAAATGGCTAAACAAGCCATCAATGTTGGCTCAATAACTCAGAAATTGTTTGGAAATGGGTAAGGTCAATACCAAGATCACAGTTGACTCTTTCCGAGCTACACAACCGATGCCTCCTCCTATGCCTGCTCTAAGAATATACCCTGTTGATGAACGCTTTCCAATAAAGAAAACAGTTGGCTTACCTAATCAACCTCTGATTCCTCCATTCTTTGAAGGTTTCATTGCTCGAGTTGGTCCACAGATCATCTCATCTTCCACTACTCCAAAAACCCCTATGAAAGATAAAGGAAAAGGTATTTCTTTTAGAAGAATCAGCCCTATAGTGCCATTGAAAAAGAAAGAGGGTTGGTCTTTGTACCAAATTGATCAAGCTGTGGAAGAAAGCCTCAAAGTCCAAGCTCTGAAGGATAATCCAAATCCTTTTCAGGCATCTCGCCTTATTATCCTTAAGGAATGATCAATGATGATCACTTTATTCCATTTAAGATATATGCTCCTCGAGGCAAGTTTTATGTGAAGTTTGCTCCTTTCCATCGATCATACGATCGAGAAACACTTTTATGAATAGAGAGAGAGAGAGAGAGAGAGAGAAACTCCTCAGAAATTTGACCATGCTTGCATTCTCTACTACTACTACTACCTCAACCTTAACTCAAAAGAAAAGGTCAAGATATCAGATCCTGACTTTCCGTCAATCATTCTGAATGACATTCTGATCATAGAAAATCAATTGGAAGACTGATAGACCTTTCAATTCAGCACAAGTGCATACAAGTCTGCTCTCTAGTACTTGAAAGATTATGTTGATGAGTTTGGATGATCTGATGTGGAATTTTCTCACTTGTTAAGAACTGAACAAATTCTCTCTCCTGTCAACACTGATCTTAAAGGAATTGAGATCTTAAATGAAGGACCAATCAAAGACCAAAAGATCGGATTTATTTATATGAAGAAATGGCTGAGCAAGACAGAAGTTTTTCACAGTTAGATACTAGGATCTGGTTCCTACCATAATTCTTTAGGAATTCATCTCCAAAACAGAAAAGATCGATGCTCTAGAATAAATCAAGTAGGAGTTTGTTTAGCAACTCAAACGGTAAATTAAAGTCCAAAGTGGGATGCATAAAGCCTACCTTTCTTCCTTTGAAGCATCAAAGTAGGTTGGCTATGGATTGTTAAGGCTACTTAGCGGGGACATTGATAGTGCAAGAAAAGTTTCCCTTAGATAATCCAAGCATATGTCTATTTCTGAGATGATCAGTGATTTGAAGAATTCCAAGAAGAAAAGTATTCTGAGATTAGTAGTGATCCGAGATGATGTAATTTCGAGATTTATATAATTTTAAGTGTTAGTGGACTAGTACTATTTTGTCATTATGTTAGTTGTGTCTTGAATTGTACAACCTCCAACATCAAGAACAACGGGGATGTAAAGCTTTTGATCTCCATTCCATGCACTTTTACTTTTGTCTTATGTATCTCATTTTACTATACAAGGGGTGTATACCTTGATCCCAATGAAACAATTGAGCACTTCTCTTAAGTCTGTCAAAGAATTATTCAGTCAATCTCTCTAACATTCTTCTTGTTCTTATTTACTATTTATTGTTTATACATTATTCTACTTATCTTGAGCACTTTGTTGAGTTATCTTCATCAGGCTTGACTGGCTAATATATACTTGACTGGACTTAGTATTACCAGCAACCATTGCCATTGTGTAACTCAAGGTTTGATTTCTCAAACCTTGTCCGTACAATCCCCTTGTTTTCACACATCTTCCTTTCCTGGGTGAATTTTGATACTTTGTGTTTCTCCAGGAACACTTTCCTTATGATGTAGTGCATTTTCTATTCCTCTTCTTTTTCGTGGGTTCTTATCCTTAGAACCAAATGGCCTTCCACGCTTCAGGCATGTTTTAGGCTCCAACATTGACAACTGGTATATATGATTTGGTAACCCTTTTTGTGTCAGTAAATGCATTAGACAATTGATTTGCCATTTCATGGAAATGCATTATCCTTTGAACTTCCATTTCACATTGCTTTATGCGAGGGTCAAGATCTGATAAAGAAGGCTCATGCCATGAAACATCATTTTCTAGAATCTTTTTTGCTCCCCTCATGAGGTGAAATTTCCCTCATCAAATTGGCAATATGCTAGGCGTGCTGTAAAAAAAATCACCAGTTAAAGGTTCAAGATATCTTATAGTTAAGACTGTCTCATAACCAACATATATTCTCAACCTTCTTTTGGGACACATTTTTTTCCATTGTGGTAATGCGATAGGGACATATACTGCACATCCAAAACTTCTCATTTTTGATATATTTGGCTCTTGAACAAAGGAAAGTCGTGGGAGAGAAAATACATGACATGAAGGTTGTCTCATGTGTATCAATATTCCAACATGTAAGATTCGATGGCCCCAAACAAAAACAGAACGTTTGGTCCTCATTATCAATGGTCTAGCTATTAACTGGAGATGTTTAATCAGTGATTCAGCTAAACCATTTTGTGTGTGTACATGAGCAACTGGATTCTTAACAACAATTCCTATAGACATACAAAAGTCATTAAGTGCTTATGAAGTAAATTCAACAACATTATTAAGTCAAATGTTTTTTTTACTAGTGTATTTGATTCTATCATATGTATATATATGTAATGCAGACGATAATCCAGTGTTGGTTTTTTTTTCAGGCAAATGATTTTTGTCTATAATATACATATATTTCTTATATTTAATGGTCACAGTTTTTGTGTCATATCCTTTGAAATATATTTCATTGAAACTCAGTAACTTTCCATTAGACTTTTAAGAAAATAAGGCATTTTCTATATAAAACTTGTACCATTTGGTAATATAAAATGGGCTTTCCCAGCTCCATCTATCAAGTCTGCAAGACTTGATATTGTATGTATGACTCTTTTTGTTGGTACTAATTTTGAAAAAAAAAATTATTTAATAATAGTGTGCATACTACCACTATCTTCTATACAAAGATCTCCAACCCTTTCTTTGTGTTGTTATAAAGAAAGTGAATTTACTGTAGGAAAACATTACATGAAAAACTAAGGTAGGAAAAAACAGGTTTACTAGAACAACAATAGAAAAAAAAATAGTTTATGTCTTCCATCTCATTGCAGAAATAAGCCACAGTTACCTGAGTACACTCAACATTATCAATGAGGTTTGCTTCTTTTCATTTTCCTGTAATGGACTCTTGAGACAGTTGAAAATGATGTGTATGTGTGCGAAAAGTCCTTGACCAATGACATGTACTACCACATCTATAACATGAACCATCACATTTTTGTGATGTCCAAACATCATGCCTAGCCACTTTGGCCTTGTCTTGTTTATGGATATTGTTTCTTTATGAAATTGGTAACTATTCCTTTTTCTGACCACGAACATGATTATTACCTTGTCCATGAACAGAATTATGGTTTTGATTACGGATTTGGTTTTGGTTAATATAGACATCGCCTTGTCCTCGACCATGACCACGCCGTCATCTACGTGTATTCTTCTGATGACCATCAGTATTTGTAGCATTTCCTTCATGAAGTGCTGCTAATCTCGTTGGACGAGATTCATAGTTTTTCATCAAAAGTTCATTGATTTGATATGCAACAAGCTTACATGTATTCAGTTCTGAATATTTAGTAAACTTTTGCAACCGATATTGTTGCATCAAGGTAACGTTTGTTACATGAAACATGGAGTAATTTTTCTCCAACATATCTTCATTAGTAACTTCTTGTCCACAATACTTGAGTTGTGAACATATTCCGAAGAAAGTTTAGTTGTATTCATTTACTTTCATGAAGTCTTGAGACCTCAATGTTCTCCAGTCACCTCTTGTATTTGGAAGTATAACTTCCTTTTGATGATCAAATCTTTCTTTCAAGATATTCCAGAGAATGTTTGGATCAGTATTATCAAGATATTCAAATCTCAACATTTGATCAATATGCTTACGAAGGAAAATTTGTCCTTTCGCGTTTTCTTGTGCCAAACAATCATTAAATTCATATATAACATTTGTGATTCCCATAGACTCAAGATGCATTTTTACATCTATCATCTATGGCACACAGTTTTTCCCACTAAGTTTAAGTGTTGCAAGCTCGAGGTTTTCAATGTCGGATATATTGTAAGTATAAATTTTAAACAAGTAACATGATGAAAAATAAAATACATATATTTCAATATGTATTTCACAAAACAAAAGAGGAAGAAGAATTATCATATACAAAACTAAGAAATGATAAAATAAATCAGGATAAAATACATCTGGTGTGAGATTGAAAATTAGGAAGCCAAGTGCTATACTAATTATAATTGCGAGAAGCACAACTGAATGAACCATTTTATCACGAGAACCTTGAAAAGTGAAATAATTTACTCTTTTTTGTGGTAGAAATAAATATAATAGCGGTATTATTTATAGTAGACAATATAGTTGTTTTGTGTGTGAGTGTGTGTGTGTGTGTATATATATATATATATATATATATATATATATATATATATATATATATAATGTGTATATGTATATGTATTATATAAATCACTTAATAAGACCTATAATGAATATATAATTTTACTTGGTATAATTTTACTAATTATAAGCGTGTAAATACATATTTGTAAATGTTTAAATAAAGTTATGAAGAGTATCTAAAATATAAATAAATAAACATCAGTATGTATAAATAAATAAACGTTAGTATACATAAATAAAAATTAGTTGTATAATTTAAATGTTAGTATGCATAAATAAAAGTTAGAATACCAAAATAATTGTGGAAAAATAAATAAATATCATTAGTCGTTAATAACATACAATTTTTCTTAATTCATTATTACTTTTAATAAAATGTTTGTTTAAGAATAAACACCTTCTTTTAAGTAATGAATACCTTAAGTGGGATAAATGTCATTTCCACTTCATTAGAGCTTTCGTGTTGATAATGTGTTATAAATTCGAAGTAATTAAAACTAAAAATAACAAAACTAAACTTAAACATTATAAAATAAAATGAGATTTGATGGGGTTCTTGAACACTTAAAAGATTGTATTCAAGATGGTGTAATTTTCTCTTTAAATTTAGTAGGTAATTATACTACATAACATCCTATTCACACATCATCAAAATAGTAACTCAATAGGTAAATAAAATTATTCAACGGGTAAAAATTGTTCATCTAAATGCATTATCTTACTCAATAATTTGATGGAATATATATATATATATATATATATATATATATATATATATATATATATATATATATATATATATATATATATATATATATATATATATATATATATATATATATATATCAGTGTTTTAGAAATCGGCGATTACTCGGTTGACTGCCTTCAACCGATTATGATTAGGGTGTTTGGCGGAAATTGGTAAAAATCGCTCAAACCCTGG